GAAATGTCAGAAGCCTTGCAAGTTTCATTTCTTGTGTTAGTCTTCCAAGCCCTCCAAGCTTCAGAAATCAAGGTTGATCTTTAAGATCCCCTTTCTGAGACTTAATAACATTGCCTGCTATCTTGGCTGTGGATGCTGTAGCACTGAGGTAGTGTAATAAGAAAATGGCAGAAAAAGCCCTCCCTTCTCAGGAAAACAGTCCACACTTTGGGATAATATTGGGTTTCTGTAGCTGTTGCATTGACTGTCATTGCTGACTAATTCCTGTTTCTTTGGACAGTGCCTGAAGGAGATGTGCTTGGGTGGACTCGTGCAGTGCACTGGCCCATAGCTTGGGATATATGATATGGGCACAGAATTCCTGGGTGCCTGTAACTAAATCAGTCTGCCACACCCAAGCACCCTCTTTGTAAAGATGTGGGTAGTATTATCCCTCACCGAGGTGTTGTGAGGATAATGGTACGGGTTAGGATGTGTACATTGCAGTAGGGCCGAGCCATGTATGAATAGAGGGAAAGGTATAAATTATGCTCGTGCAATAATTTCAGTAAACTGTGTAGGAGGATGATTAATTACTTGAGAACACAGGACAGAGTAGAAGCATTAGTTTAAAAGGGTTGTACCCTCTGAAAGGAGGGATATAAAAGACATCCTGCCCCTAATGAGGAAGCAAGGGAGCGCCTGAAGATTGCTGTAAGCCAGTTGTCATGCAGTAACTTCAAGTGCTACAAAATTATGAGAATCACGGAGTACAGAAAAGTCCAGTGTGCTTCCCCCACAAGATACCAGTTGCTTTCCTCTCTCAGGGGGCACAGAACTTGCCCTCTCATTGTGGCAGTCCCTGGCACAAGTAGGATTTTTTTTAATTACCTTCAGCAGTGTGGTGTCTAAAAGGTTTGCTGAAATATATACTGCTCAATAAAGCAACTGTGGTTATGTTTCAAAATGTATTTTCTTGGTTTTTAATAAATTTAAACATGCATGTAAACGTAGTGGGTAAACAGATGTCTCGGGAAAGGCACTATGTGCTTGTATGGTCTTTGGTACTACTGATCATCTTTCAGGAATTTGTACAATACAAATGCATTGTTTGGCACAGTAAAGACGTGCTGCGGGGGATTGAAGCACAGTTGAAGTTATCAGGCTGTGTAGGCTCGCCCTCTGCGTGTGTATGTCGGAGGTAACATCTGAGTTAAGTAGCTGAAGTTTAACTATCAGTTGCCTGCGCCTGACACCCCACGTGTGCTTCTACAAAGAAGTAAATAAAATAATAATTATTGGAGAGGAAAGAGAGTGGTGTTGAAGTCTGACTTTTGGAGAGTGCGTGTTTTTTAAGGGAGAAGACTGCATGGTAATGGATGCCCATGGAAGAATGAATGGGGAAAGGAGTGACAAGGAAAGAGGAGAATAAAAAAGACAGAAGAACAGGGGGAGTGAAGGGATAAGAACTGAGGAGAGGAAAGACAACGATAGGTGGAGAGACTTTGGCTTGTGATCAGAAATGAAAACAAGGTAAGAAAAGGAAGGGGTGAGAAAAACTCATTGAGAGACCTGCCCCAATGATTTTCAGGGTAATTGTACTGTGAGAGGAATCAGTAGGGCTGCACATGGTTTCTCTGTGGATTTGTGCAGGTGGCTGCATTAGGAAGAACATTACCAGCAGGTCAAGGGAAATGATCCCACCCCTCTACTGAGCTCTAGCGAGGCCACATCTGGAGTGCTGTGTCCAGTTCTGGGCTCCGCAGTACAACAGAGACATGGAGCTCCTGGAGCAGGTCCAGTGGAGGGCAACAAAGATGATTAAGGGACTGGGCCATCTCTGTTATGAGGAAAGGCTGAGGGAGCTGGGCCTGTTCAGCCTTGAGAAGAGATATCTGAGAGGGGACCTCATCAATGTCTCTAAGTATCTGCAGGGAGGCTGTCAAGAGAATGGATCTGGGCTCTTCTTGGTGATGCTGAGTAATAGAACAAGAGGCAGTGGGCAGAAAGTGATGCACAGGAGGTTCCACCTGAATATGAGGAAGAACTCCTTCACTACACAGGTGACTGAGTGCTGGAACAGCTTGCCAAGAGAGGTGGTGGAGTCTCCCTCACTAGAGATATTCTGGACTGTCTGGACACAATCCTGTTCTATATGCTCTAGGATGACCCTGCTTGAGCAGGGAGGTTGAACCAGCTGAGCCACTGTGGTCCCTTCCAGCCTGACCCATTTTGTGATTCTGTGACACAGTTGCATTAATGCCAGCCCATGCTTTGGGCCAAACTGCTGGCCTTGCTAGCATTTTCTTCCCTGGACATTTTCACCATCCTCCTCTTCCTCTCTTGCTGCTATGCCATTTGTGTGGAAAGAGGCCCTTGTTATTCCTTATTTTTGTCTCCGTTGTTGTGTATCAGAGTGACTGCGCTTCACTGCCCTCTTCTCTAGTGATCGAGGATGCCTTTAGGGCGTTTTTTCTTTGCAATTATCAGTTTCAGAATCTGAGAATTATTTGGGTATTTTGTGATAGATAGTATTTAGTCATGAAAGTTTTAGGTGAATCTTATTATAAGATGAAAGAGCAAATGAATTGTAAAGGAAAAAAGGAGAAATTCATGGGGAAATGAAATTACATAAATAACATGAGTTCTTTTAGAAGTACTGAGGAAAAGTGTGTGGCATTGGTAGGAATAAAAAATTGGAAACTTAAATCTTAGATTTATCTTTTTTCTTTTTTTAATGGGACTGTTAGGGTGGGGATGTCTAATACCCAGCACAGCATAGGTCAAGCAATTTCAGCAAATGTTCTGACCCCTGTGATAAATTCTGTGATGCAGAGAATCACTTCTGTTTAAGGTTACACAAGAGCTTTGGAGTTAAGCTGCGGATAGTAGAAAACATCCCCATAGCTAGATTAAGCTGTGTACCATAAAAATAGTTTGTCGTTCAGTTAAAACTTGCTCAGCTGCAGCTTTATCTTGTTATGCTTTTTGTTATTGCCAGACTCTCTCTGGATCATACTTAGTAATGTTGTGCTCAGCTTCCTTCCACTTTCAATTGAACAGATAAAGTATCTTTGTAACAGTTCTGATTATAAAGTCACTGTACTGTCACTTGTTTCATTTTCTCCCAGTTTATTGACAAAGCAGTTGCAGAATGTTGGTCCAGTAATAGATTTGCAGAGTGAAACATTCTGCTGGGGTTTTAGGAAATAATTTTGCTGGTTTTAGCAGGGAAGGAATTAAAATGACAGGGGTTTGTCTCGTCAGTCCCCATGGAAGCCTGCTCAGCTAATGAGCATCTGGAAGGTCGTGGCTCCAGGAGATCATGGCTCTTAAGTGCTAAACTGGTAAATGATGGTGCCTGCGCTGAGCCTCTGCTCGGCCAGAGTCAGAGCCAGGTGACACCTCTCGCCACGCTGCCGGGAGCAAAGGGCTCTGCACACCTGGAGGCAGGTAACAAAGCAGGGGAGCCATTGGCCTGGCTGAGGGGCTGGCAGTGAGGGGAGCAGGCACTGGGCAGAGAGGGTCTCTGAAGGGTAGGTGGCACAGGCTGAGGAGACGAGGCTGGGCACGTAGAGGCAAAGGGAAGACAGGCACTGTCCAGACAAGGGCGTGGGCTGGTGTTAGTGGTGGTGGCAGATATTTACAGTGGCAGCTGTAAAAATTAGAACACAGTCCCTTTCAGGTTCTGTAGCAGAAACAAACTCCTGCTTGAGTTTCTGCTGCTGTGAGAACATCAGCATGAAATGTGACCATCACCCTGTGTGTGGTTGTTCTGCCCACAGAACAGCATCCTGCTGGCTTTTGTCATAGCTCAGGTGCTTGCTCTGTCTAAAGGTTTCTAGCCCTACCAAGGGAAAACGGACAGTACCTGGTGGAATTTGTGCTTTTACTGTCTGTCCTTTTCAGAGGAGAAAGAAATTACATTAATCTTTTTTAAAAACCACAAAGTCCAGAATTTAGAAGCTGTGATCTTCAGGATTAATAAACTCAATATAAATTCAGCATATTGTGTGCAGTACAAGAACAGATACTGTTTTCCTCTAGAGGATACCTGTCTTGTCTTCTGCAGGGGCTGCTTTGGAGAGGAATGAAAAGCAGCATGCTGCAGCATGACCCATGTTTCATTTGCTGTGTAAATTGAAAGGTTTAGAGTTGATGAGTCTGGGGATTGCAGGAAGGAGAAAGGCATGGTCTTGGGATCCCCAGGCTGGATTTTGTTCCTGCCATGAGCTTCCTCTGTAAGCAATATTAATTTTCAACCCTGTGTCCCCATCGTCTTCTGACATGCTTTTTTGAGCCATAGGGATGTAATCTGGTAGCTGGCTGCTTAAACCTTGTGTGAAGTCTGTCATGCTGAACAAACATGGAAGTATCAAATTCAGGAATGTGCAGACAGAATTTTGCTGCTTAGTAATTTTTTGAGAATTTGAATTTGCACTGTTAACTGTCCTTGAATGCAGAGGGGTGATGGGTATGTGCTGTGGATTATGTATCTGGGTACTCAAGGACTCCTACTAACCGAGCATTTCTCAGGTAACTAAATTAGAAATGGCAACAGAAATCTGTTGAAGCAGCAACTTCATTACTCAGAAGGGTTCTGTGTGTAACTTATTATATTCTGTTTGTGCAAAAAAGTAAGTAAAAGGAACAGCTTCTGTGCTCAGCAAGGCCCGGAGTTGGTTTTACTTCTTATAGGAATTAATTTCACGGCCTGTGGATAGTACTTGTTAAAACCTTCCTCTTGCATACAGACCTTCCCAGACAGCTGGTTGCTTTTCAGGGAATTGAAAAAGCATTCATTGCTGTAGAAATATGTGCAGTGAAAATAGAGACTGCTGCCTGGACTGATGTATTGGACAGTTTTGGTGATGGCCAGACACACCTTCAGTTGCACTCTCTGTGTGTTGGAGAGCGGGTTCAGGAAGCAGATATGCTTATGTTGGATTTCTGAAGAGCTTTTCCTACCACCTTTTTTTTTTTTTTTTAACCTGCAAGAAAGATTTTTTTTTTTTTTAATTACATATAAAGGTGACAATAATCAAGCTTGGATTTCAGGTTAATGCAGTAACACTAGATCTCATTGTGATTAGACAGGCATGGAAAAATGAGAATTGTTTTTTATCAGCTTTGCCAGTTGAGCATCTGGTGATGCCTAGGGGGTGAGTGGCATAGTGCATTGAAAATTAATTGACTATCAACTTCACATTGCTCATTCAGAGCCCTACAAACGTTTATTATTCATGATGTATGGCATCCTTCCAGGTTTTGGATGGACAGCACTGAGATGACGGTGCAGAAGGCACAAAAAGGAACACGTCACGGGGGGTTAAAACTGATACTCACTGCTCCCTGTCCCATCTCAGACTTGCTCTTTGGCTCTGCCCAAAGCATCTACTGTCTCCTATATGTAAAATGGATGCACTAAAACAAACTCACTTTTCGGTGAATTAGCATTTGATCAACTTTAATTTCTACATCCTCGTGTAGGAACAACTAAATGGCATTATTTACCAGCTGTTGTACTATTTTTTTCATTACTAAGTGGAGTTTTTGAATATGTTATAATGACTGACACTCATTACAAATTTTGAGTTTCTGCTTCCTTAATGTGGATCTTTCTGCATGGCAGCAGTTTTCTGCTAACTAATATGTATTCTAGGGCTGTGCTCCCAGATTAAATCTATCACGTTTTTATAGTCTGTCTCCTCTGGAGCTGGCAACAAATGGAAGCACGCTAATGTGCACCAGGGACATCATTAGAGGGGTATATGTGTCGTTATTGGTTAGCTTTGTTCCTGCCTTGGCATCATGGACATGAACCTGATTTCTCCATGTATTCTCCTTTCCCTGCAGGTATTGAGAACCTGCCATTTGAATTGCAGAGAAACTTCCAGCTCATGCGAGATCTGGATCAGAGGACAGAAGGTGAGACTTAAAGATGGTTTTGTTGCCAAGAAAATAAGTATGTAGCTTGACCAGCTTTTCTTTGCTTTGCTTTAATCATGGGGATCTCCGGGCAGGGAAGAAAGCCTAAAGCTGCTCCACTCATTCAGTCTCTCTTACTGGAGGGCACTGTAGCATTGTGTATATTTACGTATTTAATGGTAAACTTGTTTCAGACCTCAAGTCGGAGATCGATAAGTTGGCCACAGAGTATATCAGCAATGCACGAACTTTGTCTTCAGAGGAAAAACTGGGGCTTCTCAAGCAAATCCAGGAGGCCTATGGGAAGTGCAAGGAGTTTGGGGACGACAAGGTTCAGCTGGCTATGCAGACCTACGAGATGGTATGAAGGGAAGTGTCTAGTGCTTATCGGGTGAAAGTCCAGACTAAAGCCCCCAGTCTTGAAAGGCCTTGATCTCTCATTTTTAGGCCCTGCCCGCTCTTTGCTTCTTGGCTCTTTAGTGCAAGCCCCCTCTTCTTTGCCCTTCTGGGCTCTGTCCTGTGGTGACTCCTGGTCACTGTTGTCTTTGCAGGTTGATAAGCACATCCGGCGGCTGGACACAGACCTCGCTCGCTTTGAAGCAGACCTGAAGGAGAAGCAGATAGAGTCGAGTGACTATGACAGTTCTTCCAGCAAGGGCAAGAAGAGTGAGTACCACCACTGGGCTGCAGATAGGGATACAGGAGGCAGCCAAGTGACTATGGAAGTGGTGGGGATGAAGGCAGGCACTGGAATGGTACAGATCAAAGACTGTTGCGCTGGAATCTGAAGGACAGGTAAAAAGATGGTGACCTGTGAGCTTCTTGTGTGAGGATATCAAGACCACTAGATAAAATTAAGATGGAGTGCACGGCCCAAAGCCGATATACGTTCCAAAGTAGGAGTGTATTTTAGTGCTGGAGAGGTTGTCACCGTGTCAAGTGTCTATTTTGATGGGGTGACAGATGCAACACCTTTTTCTCTTCTTATCAGAGGGCCGAGCCCAGAAAGAGAAAAAAGCTGCCCGTGCTCGCTCTAAAGGGAAGAACTCTGATGAGGAAGCACCAAAAACTGCCCAAAAGAAATTGAAGCTCGTCCGCACGTAAGTGTTTTAAGAGACTTGCAGGAATCAGGAGCAGCACTAGAAATCAGACCAAGGAAGGCCCAGCCTGAGAAGGATAGCTGATCCCCACCCAGACTAAAAGGGTTTATCTCCTGTCCCTTCTTGGGAAGCAAGAAGAAGGGAATCTTTTTAATTCTTTCAGGGGAGTGTGGGTTGAAGAGGAAAGCAGGCCACTTCACTGGAGTTGGGTGTATGTGCTTAAATAAGAGAAGCATCTGTCTCTGGCAAACAAGGACATTGTCTTTGGAGACATGAAGGGACTCAAAGCCAGTTATTTTGCTGACCTACTTTATTCCTGTCCTGCAGTAGCACAGAGTATGGGATGCCTTCAGTCACCTTTGGAAATGTGCACCCCTCGGATGTACTGGATATGCCCGTGGACCCCAATGAGCCTACTTACTGCCTCTGCCACCAGGTCTCCTATGGGGAGATGATTGGCTGCGACAACCCAGATGTAAGAGCCTGCACTTGATGGAAATGGGGGAGAAAGGCGTGAAGAGAAGGCTCTTGGATGGAAAGTCTTGTCCTGCTTGGGTGGGGCCTGATACAGCAAGCAATGGCAAGGAGACAGGGAGTTTGGGAAGGGCAAGGGTGTGGCATACCATGACCTGTTAAGTGCCTCTTTTGTCAGGGTTTTCCTTAAAATGTTTTCTTGCCCCTAAACTTAGCAAGGGACAAGGGGAGTTCTCCTTGCTAACAGTGTGTAGATTGGGTGTGAGTCTTCATTCCCTGATTGCTACTAGGGATTCAGGAGTTTGTGATCAAATGCTGGGAATCTCCGGTAGCCCAAAAGCAATGATTTCAAAAGAAAACTGCTCTTTAACTGACTGCTCTCCATTCCAACAGTGTTCCATTGAGTGGTTTCATTTTGCCTGTGTGGGTCTGACAACAAAACCAAGAGGGAAATGGTGAGTGAACAAGCAACCTGGAGGGCCCATTGGCCTTTGGAAAAGGGAGGTCGTGAGTGGCAGATGGGAGAGTACACTTAAAAGACCTCATAAAAATGAAAAATTGAATTAAAGCTTTGTTGGAGACCTTGGAAAAAAGGTCTTTTGGGACTGTATGTTTGAGGTTCCTGTCATGCCCTCAACGTTGGCTTTGTACTTCCCTTTCTAACAGGTTCTGCCCTCGCTGTTCGCAGGAGAGGAAGAAGAAGTAAATTCCCATGAAACCTCAGAACTGCTGCAGGAGCTCTCTTCCCCCTGCCAGGGCCTCGTCCCAGTTCCCCCAGCCCTTGGGGCCTTGGCTGAGGGGGAGTCTTGCCCTGTTTGTGGTTTGGGCCATCCCTGGAATGGTGTGTACCCTCACAGTGGTTCCTGTGTGTTCTGTATCCCGGGTTGCTTCCAAGTCCCTAAGGGAGGACTTCTCTGTGTACTATTCCAAACAGGTCTCTGAACCTCAAAGGGAATGAATGAGGGCACCAGGGTAGCCACCAGATTCACAGGGATTCAGGTAGCCCCTGATTTTCCTTGGCTTTCCTTCAGCCTCCTCAGAGTTCATTGCCTACTCTGTGCTTAGAGAACAAGGCTATGGGATGGGGGAAGGAAAGGAGGTAAGTCTTCAGCATTTTAGGTCATTGATTTTCCTGGATCTTTTTCAGGAGAGAGGGGGTAACCAGGCTACTTCTTAATCTAGTGGACTGGTTGAGAAACTGAAAACCTGATGTGCTCCCTGTCTTTAACCATTCCATTACTGGCATTGAGCAGCCTCTTTTGCTGGGGAGAGGAGGAGGGAGTGTTTAGAGCTAGCTTTGTCTCCCTTATTCCTGGGGTAACCCTGCTGGTCTGGGAAGCACATTATGGGAAGGAGGAAGAATTTCTAACCACGTGGGGAGAAGTGGCTTGGTCTAGCCTGTCTTCCGGCTCCAAAATTCTGCCTTCCTTTTGTGCAGTGGTGCTTCTCCATTATGTTGACAGTGGAAAGTTTGGGGATCAGATCCCACTTGTATAAAACAGAATGAAATAAAATTCATTGAAACAAATATTCTGTTTGCCTTGCTGTTACCTCCAAAATAAATTGTGGCAATTGGTCTCTCTAGTTCTTTCTCTCTTAGCTCTGCTTTTATTGTAAATGATGAATGTGGTACAGATTTCTCATCTACCAATCCTAAATAGCATTAATAAGTGACATTCTGCATAAGTCAGGCTTTAAAATGTACCTAATGTACTTGCAAAAGGTTACTAAGCTTTCTAGTGAATGTGAAAAACATCTGCCCCATCAGTCGTGCCCTCACAAAAAGGTGGACATTTATTCACATTATTGTTTGATCATCTACTTCATCAGTTGCCTTCTCTTAAATGAGGAGGGCTGGAAGTTATTGAGGTCAACACTCACTCTGGCTGTTGGGCAGCACAGCTGAGAAAATAAGCCATCAGGACAAGCCATGTGCCTCCAAGAATGTGGGTAGGTATTTCCAGATATCCTGATAACTTGCTCCCTAGTGGGTCACAATCACCTTGTTACCAGAAATGTTGGGCTCCAAAACAATTACTGAAGATGTGTCTTTCTGTAGTATCTGTAGGTAACTGTGAGGAGATGACCCACACTGAAGCTTCCCTTTATCAATTCCATTGGCAGGACCTGGAGATGGATGAGCCCAAGTCTCTTCTTGCTGCTTGTGGTCTGCTCATCAGGAAGGTTTAGGATTTTCACCTGAAACACAGGATGTTTTCCTCACGTGTATAACTTGCATGAGGATCCATGGAAGATTTTGCTCTTGTAGTCATGAAGCCAAAGCTCTGCTCAGGTTCAGAGGACTGTAGGTGAAGAGCAATGTTATTCCCACCTTGTCATTGTATGGGGACTCTGTCAACCATCAGCTCAGGAGCTGGAGTTTTCTGCTCAAGGGAGTTAGCATTGAGCCAGTCTTTGCTTTTTCTTCGAGAAGGGATCTGTGGGTTCTCATTTTGGACAGAAAAAAGTAGAGGTGGATTCTTGCCCAGGCTATGGCTCATGTTGTTTTTGGTACCCCTGCCACAGTCTCAGTCTGAATCCCCAGATTTTATTAGGCCACTCCCTGGGGCTTCCCTTCTTAAACAGAGAGAAAGTAAATTCTGGAAGATGTTGGCTATGTGTCTGGTACAGTTTTCATAGTGGGGAGACACTGTGCCGTGATCCAAGGGGTGAGAAAGCTGTGGCAGGAGAAAAACTTTATTGAGCTGGGGTTAATTCAGACAGCAGCAGGGTGCTCAACTGACGTGGAGGATGTGGTCTGAACTTGAAGATGGGCTTTGGGCAAAGTGCAAGGGTGACGAAGGATGCAAGCAGTCCTCCAAGCAGTTTGGTTTTGAGGGGACACGACTGTAATTGTAATGGCCAGTGTTAGCAGCAAGTTCTCTAGGAACTGCGGGCTAGAGGGGCGTTTGGAGCACTAGCCCTGTAATGAAGCCACTGCTGACCAAGGATAATAAGTAGCTTATAAAAGCATGCGGTATCATGTGAGTGTGTGAGTGGGCAGGAGTGTGTTGCACACCAAACCAGCAAACAAGATTGCTTATTTTTCAGGTGCCGCTCACAGGAGTAACTGTGTTCCTCTGGTTTGGGAAACATAAGTCTGGGGTTTTCTGCAGTCAGCATAGGATGCTGGGAGGGGGAGGTAGACTGGAACGTTCCTGTTTTCAGACTAAAACTTGGCCACAGCGTTACCATTGTGCTTCTTGGCACTCTGAGAATTGAAACATTCTGATGACCTAATGCAAAACAGATGAGAAACACCTTGGCTGGGTTCTGATTCAGTGCCAGAAAATGGCAAGCAGTGCTGCTGTTTTACTTCCCTGCCACTCTGCTGTTGTGTCCTGCTTCTGTCCAACAAAGGGGTGCTTCAGCCAGCAGCATGGAGCGTTCAGGGGACATTTGCTGCAGCTGAGGAAATGCTCTGACTTACAGGAAGAGGGAATTAGACCAAAATTTGGATAAAGCCCCTGAGCATTTTTAAATGGCTTAAAAGTATAAATGCAAATGAAAGGACATTAAAATCTAACCTTGGAAGGGAGGGAATAAGGGCAATAGCTGTGCAATATGTAATCACCAGAGGAGGAAAAAAAATCAGTAGAAGCTGGAAATTACAAAGTACAAAAATGAAGCCAGTGGGAACAAAGCCTATAAGTGACAAGGCTGGAAACATGAGCAGCTTTTTTTAGAATGCCTTTTGTTTTTGATATAATTGAACATGGCACATGTCCATTACCAACTGCAGATAGCAGAATTGTTTGTAATGAGAGGAGGGGAAGTGTTCTGTAAATATTTATTCTGTGTTGGTGCTGGTGTCAATATGGGGATGATGTACTTCCTAGGCAAACAGTAAAGGAGAGTTTTAAATAGCATCTATTGGGGTCAAGACTTTTTTGATCAGCAGTCTTCAATAAATTATGTCTGTCGTCCTGTGAAAGCCACCCAAAGGAGTCTGTGGACTGCTCTCTGAAAGGCTCTGGACTGCTAAGGAAAGCCCACAAGGCTGGAAAAGAGCCAGCTCTGTGCTGGTCCTTAATGATGTCAAGAAGGCTGCCACAGCAGTCCAGATGTGAAATTCTGAAACAGCAGGGAAGTAAATCGCTTCTCTCTAAAACAAGCAAGAAATCCAGGTCAACAAAATAAAATCAATTTGACTGGAAGTAGCAAAAACAGGTCAGTCAAAAACTACTTGAATTTTTTTTTTTTTTAAAGATCTTGTTAATAGTTACCTGCATCACTCTAGTGGTAACGGGATCTGAAAAGTTTACTTCTCCTAGAATTGAAGTGCTTAAAGCAGGGTTACACTAAGTTAAAGTAATCATGAGCTCCTTTACAGAACTGGCTAGCTTGCAGATTTCCTGGAACAGCTGTCAGTGCGACATAAACACTTTCTAAAATGGTGCTGGAGAAATTGCCCTTTTAGAGTGATTGGAAATATCCTAGTTGATGAGTAAAGTCAAGTCTGAGTTTCAGGAAGCTGCAGCCATTCAGCACAACAAGAGGGAAGATTTTTCCAGCCTCTTTAAGCCCATTTATTAACAATAATTGGTCATGCACACAAATGACCAGTTTATCTTGTCCAGCTGTGATTGCCCCATCTTTGGGCATCGTTCCTAGGTAGCTGGGCAAATATGTTGATGAGGACGTTCAGCAAAGTATTCCCCTTTCCAGCGAGCAGACGTGCTCACCAAGCTCCCGTCCCTCGGGCTCTGCCACCACCATGTCCATTGCATGATGTGCACAGAAGCCATCACCTTCCACCAGTGGGAACGCCTTCCTCCCCTGCTTTTGAATAAAGCAATTGAACTCGCCCCATAGCTCAGCAACATCCAGCCTTCCATTAAGCACTTTTAAGGTGTTACCCAACCATACACTCAGAGCCGCGTGGTGGACAGTCCCTCCCTCACTGTCTGTTTAACAGCTTGTATAAGGCTTCTGTGCTTAAGCAGACTCACTGAAACTCAGCTGTAGGGTGTGTTTCTGTGAGACTCAAATTATCACATATCAATTTTTATGAGACAGTTACTCAGAACTGGAAACACTGATTGGAAAGTACCCCTGGAGGTCATGGTCATTGCTTCAGCTTCCCCTTCAAAGCAGGGCTGCTGTCCATCCTAAATCAGGTCAGATATATGCTGAGTACTGAAACTCTCTGTAGCAGAGCAACTAGGATGAGAAGCAGCAGTTGGGTGGCTCAAGATGAAAGGTGATATTACTGGTGATCTTAAGACTCAATTCAAATGCCAGCCGAATCAGTCCAGAGATCTCAGCTTGGCAGTGGAGAAGAAAGACGTTCCCAAGAGACAACTTGCTCATACTGAAATGACTTAAAATAAGCCCATGTCTGCCCAGACACAGCTGGTTTGACAGTTTCTGAGCCATTGTCCCTTTTATAATCAACCATTGCTCTACTTTCTCTCTGCCATGTGAACCAGGAGGATGAACTGTGAAGATGTTGACGAGTTGAGTGGCAACATCTGCTGCTTTAAAGCAAGCAAGGGGGACCTGCAGCATGGAAGGAGTTAAAGACTAACAGAAGGAAAGAAAATACCCTACCTTTCTTTCGAAAGACAACTGAAGGAAGTTTCTCCAACTCTGTTGCCTAGTAGTTACAAGATCAAAAGAAACATAGCTGTTTTTATCCAATAAAATGCATTTCATTTATAAAAATAGTCAAACATCTTGATTAATTTATGCTAATTTATGTTTATTTTTCTGAATACATAAAAGAAAGTTAAGTGTTAGTTTTAAAAAAGACGTTTTTGCCCAAGACTTAAGGACAGGCAAAGCTGTGACAAACACTAAGCTCCTAAAGCTTGGTGTGAAAGAAATGTTCAGCAAGTTGTCCATTTTAGTCTGTTTTTGCAGGTGTACAATTTAATTTCAGTAGCCTGGGTTGCTGCCATTGAATAAATAACTCATTCAAAGTTGAAAACCCATCTGGGAGTAGGAAAGTAATTATTTTTTACACATTGACAACAAGCAAGGAAAAAATGTGTGAGATCCTGAGATTTCCTCATTCCAAAAGCCTGAATGATGCAGTCATTGGAAGAACCCATTTAGTTACCACAGAAAGACTGAGGTGGGAAGAGGCCTCTCTGGTGCTCTGTAGTCCAAACCCCTGCCCACAGTAGGGATAAATTTGTGGTCAGATCAGGTTGTTCTTGCACTAAACAAACCTGCCTAAAAAGACTAGAGCAGTTGGTTCAAAGATGCTTTTATGTAGCCACTCCATCTTAGGTTGTATTAATAATTCAAGAAACCATTTTTAAATACTGTTTTTGCTATCAATTAAATATTCCATTTTCTAAATGTCAAGTAAAAAATGCTTCATTCACTATTTCCTAACAAAATAAAATGTAAATTAAGTATTTGAATTAATGCATGTTATAGCTCTACAGTGCTTGTATAAATGTGAATAGATTAACATATCTACCAAGTTAAAAATGAGTGCCAATTTTAATATGAAGTCTATATTTATCAGCATATTCGCAGAGCTCTCAGCCAATGAGAGTAAACCCACCAAAATAAAGTACAAATGAGGAATGAAGATTATTTAACCTGTGATTAAACTCAGCA